GGGCCACAGAAACGTTACTTAGGGCCACAGAAACGTTAGGGCCACAGAATTGTTACTTAGGGACACAGAATTGTTACTCAGGGGACACAGAATTGTTACTGAGGGACACAGAATTGTTACTGAGGGACACAGAATTGTTACTGAGGGACACAGAATTGTTACTGAGGGACACAGAATTGTTACTGAGGGACACAGAAACGTTACTTAGGGCCCAGAATTGTTACTTAGGGACAGACACAGAATTGTTACTGAGGGACACAGAATTGTTACTTAGGGCCACAGAATCGTTACTTAGGGCCACAGAATCGTTACTTAGGGCCACAGAATTGTTACTGAGGGACACAGAATTGTTACTGAGGGACACAGAATTGTTACTGAGGGACACAGAATTGTTACTGAGGGCCACAGAATTGTTACTTAGGGCCACAGAATTGTTACTTAGGGCCACAGAATTGTTACTTAGGGCCACAGAATTGTTACTTAGGGCCACAGAAATTGTTACTTAGGGCCACAGAAACGTTACTTAGGGACACAGAATTGTTACTTAGGGACAGACACAGAATTGTTACTGAGGGACACAGAATTGTTACTGAGGGACACAGAATTGTTACTGAGGGACACAGAATTGTTACTGAGGGACACAGAATTGTTACTGAGGGACACAGAATTGTTACTGAGGGACACAGAATTGTTACTGAGGGACACAGAATTGTTACTCAGGGACAGACACAGAATTGTTACTCAGGGACACAGAATTGTTACTCAGGGACACAGAATTGTTACTCAGGGGACACAGAATTGTTACTCAGGGAGGGACACAGAATTGTTACTGAGGGACACAGAATTGTTACTGAGGGACACAGAATTGTTACTGAGGGACACAGAATTGTTACTGAGGGACACAGAATTGTTACTGAGGGACACAGAATTGTTACTGAGGGACACAGAATTGTTACTCAGGGACACAGAATTGTTACTCAGGGACACAGAATTGTTACTGAGGGACACAGAATTGTTACTGAGGGACACAGAATTGTTACTGAGGGCCACAGAACTGAATTGTTACTCAGGGACACAGAATGTTTACAGGGACACAGAACACAGGGAATTGAATTGTTACTCAGGGACAGACACAGAATTGTTACTGAGGGACACAGAATTGTTACTGAGGGACACAGAATTGTTACTGAGGGCCACAGAATTGTTACTGAGGGCCACAGAACTGTTACTCAGGGCCACAGAAACGTTACTCAGGGACACAGAATTGTTACTCAGGGACAGACACAGAATTGTTACTCAGGGACACAGAATCGTTTAATTAAAGAGTATGTCAGACAACATGCAGAGGAGTGGCAGAGGAGGCAATGTTTTAGGAGCGAGCAGACGTGGCAGCAGAGGAAGGGGTCGAGGCAGCACTATTCGCAGCCAGAGGCCAGTGCTCCCGGTGTCATCCAGCGGGTCGTGTCTCCACCGACAACCCTGCCGTCATCGATTGGTTGGCTCGGTCGTCTTCCTCTTCCCAGGTCACCTCTGACACCTACAGCCAACGGTCGGTGGGTACGTCAGACACAACCGTTAGTTGGCATGGCCCGGGAGCAAGCCCACTGAAATCACGTGTCCTCTACCTGCCCCTGTCCTTTGGTGTTCCCTCACCAAGCGAAGTATCGCATGCTGTGGGCTCAGCCCCACTGTACAGTGAGGAAGAGCTAACAGAGGGCGGGTCAGGAACGGGGGGAGACATCCGCCTCTTCAGCAGCCAGGCGAAGAAGTAGTGGCGAGGAGAGTGGCTCGGTAGCCGGTCTAGAGACAGGTCTGTCTCCTGACCCACACGCAGCCGAGGGGGCTAGTAGTGAGGCGGAGACCCTAATTGATGATGATGAGGCTGATCGCACTTGGCAGCCTCGTCGTCATCAGGCTATTGCTTCCGCATCATCAGGAGAAGAGGGTGGCAGCTTGGCAGCGAGCAAAACAGTCGGTGGGTTGCCCAGGAGGCAGCAGGGTCGCAGCAGTGTCAGTGGAGGCAAACGGCCACGGAGTACAGCACCAGCTCCACTGCAGCCTACCACCACGGCCAGTAGTGGTGCCGGTGTGCACGGAGGAAGCAGCAGTCAGCCAGTGAGGAGTATCGGGGGCAAAGTTTCCTACTCGGCGGTGTGGCAATTTTTTGTCAAGCCGCCCGAGGAAGTAAACGTAGCCGTATGTCGACTATGTGGCCAGAAAGTCAAGCGTGGCCAGGGGGCCCATGTTGGGACTACAGCGTTGCGGCAGCATATGCAGCGTCGCCATTTGGTGGCCTGGGAAAACCGTGATAAAGATACGGCGGTTCTGCCCGCCCCAGCCCCCGCTCCATCACCCGCTCCGTTACTTGCTCCGTCACCCGACGTCAATCGCCCTCTATCAGCCAGTCAAGGCTCCAACACCTCTGCTGAGGGGAGTTGTCGCTCGTTGCCATCTTCCGCTCGTTCAGATGCTCCTTCTCCTGCTACTCCTCTTCACGGATTCCGTCAGCAGTCTTTCTTGGAATCCGTTTCCAAGAGACAACAGTTTGCGAGCACGCACCCGACGGTGCAAAAGCTGAACGTCCTCCTGTCCAAGTTGCTGGTGCTGCAGTCCCTCCCTTTCCAAGTGGTGGACTCAGCACCTTTCCGAGAAATGATGGCTTGTGCCGCGCCGCGGTGGAGAGTGCCAAGCCGTCATTTCTTCGCCAAAAAGGCGTGCCAGCCCTGCATTCACATGTAGAAGAGATGGTGGGCCAGTCTTTGAGCATGTCGGTCTCTGCCAAAGTGCACGGCAGCGCCGACGTGTGGAGCTGTAACTACGGTCAGGGACAGTACATGTCATTTACGGCCCACTGGGTGAACGTGGTGCCGTCACAGCCGCACCAGCAACTTGGACAGGTCACGCCGCTTTTGCCTCCACGTTTGCACGTCCTTGGTCCACAAAAGATGTCCGCCTCTACCACCTCTTCTTCCTTCGTGTCCTCAGCCGCCACCCCCGTGCCAAGTCCCATTACCCGACCGGCATATCACATGTGCAGGGCGCAACGGTGTCACGCTGTGCTGCACCTGGTATGCCTTGGCGAACGTAGTCACACAGGGGAGGAACTTCTCAGTGTAATGAACAGAGAAATCGACAGATGGCTGTCTCCGCGCAAACTCAAAATCGGAACCATGTTGACCGACAACGGAAAGAACATGGTGTCTGCTCTGCGAAGGAAGGTTGTGCCATGCGCCATGCATGGCTCACGTGTTCAATCTGGTTGTCAAGCGGTTCCTAAAATCCACCATCCCACTGCAAGACATCCTTAAAATGTCACGTAAACTTTGCATGCATTTCAGCCATTCCTACACCGCAAAGCACACCCTCCTTGAGCTGCAGCGGCAGAACGGAATTCCACAGCATCGCCTGATCTGCGACGTTGCAACAAGGTGGAATTCAACCCTACACATGTTAGACCGCCTTTACGAACAGCGAAAGGCCATCACCGATTTCCTGATGTTACAAGCGGATAAAGGTACTCCCCTGTGTAACTTCGATGTCAGCCATTGGCAGCTCATGCGTGACACCTGCCGCTTGCTCAGGCCCTTTGAGGAGGCCACGCTATTCGTGAGTCGGCAGGACTATGGGATGAACGACGTCATTCCTCTGTTGCACGTCCTGGAACAAATGCTGTTAACAATGGCTGGTCAGGGTGCGGTAGACGTGGCGCACAGATCTCAACGCCACATGACCCCTGTGGGGGCAGGACAGGAAGAAGAGGAGGAGGTAGAGGAGGACATTTGTGCTCAGGAATTATTGAGTGAAATGGGTGGTTTTTCCACTCAGCGGACAGGAGTGGAGGAGCAGGAGCATCTGGTAGAGGAGGAGGAGGAGGAGACAGAGGACCCAGACGCACCGTGGCAGTATGCTGTGGAGATGGAGGCAGGGAGTCCCTCGCATTCCTTGGCACAAATGGCCCATAGCATGCTCGGTTGCTTGCGTAGCGACAGCCGAATAATAACCATCAGACAGAGGGATGACTTTTGGCTGTCCACCTTGTTGGACCCTCGCTACCGTTCAAAAATGGTGGCCTTTTTCACACCTGCTGAGAGGGAGGCCAAAATAACGTACTATAAAAACCACCTATGTAGTCAGTTGGTCTCTGCCTTTGTGCGCCAACGTCCATCCTCAGACACTGTGGGCCCTGTGCGCTCGCGTTCCGCTGCCATGGCAGCAGGGGAGGGGTGGGGTGGTAGGAGCAGTGGTAGCTCCACCAGCAGCGGCTGCCTCAGTCTGCAGTCGATGATGAGTAGCTTTCTTCACCAGCGCAGTGAGGAAACTACTAACCAGCCGCTAAGCAGCGCAGCAGCAGCAGCATCAGGTGGACCTGGAGCAGGACCTCAAACAACAGGCTTGGGCCTACTTGGACAGCACCCTGCCAACCGAGGTAGACAATCCCCTTGACTACTGGGCAACGAAACTTGACCTTTGGCCCCAACTAGCTGAATTTGCCCTTGAAAGGCTGTCATGCCCGGCCAGTAGCGTGGCATCGGAGCGCGTGTTTAGTGCGGCAGGAGGTATTGTAACTCCGCGGAGGACACGACTGTCCACCCAAAGTGTGGAGAGACTCACGTTTGTGAAAATGAATCAGGCGTGGATTAGTCTGGATTTCAAACCACCAGTTCCTGACACAACTGACTAAATCCGCCATGAATCATGCCCCTGCCATGTGCCACTTTCAGGTCTCCTCACACTGCTGGTGTGTTCCATTTTTTGTCATAGGGTGCTGGCAGATTACGGGCCTCCCATAGCTGCTGCCAGGCCCCTAATCTGCCATGGGCCCCCCGTACCGCCTCCTCATGCTGCTGCCAGGTCCACAGTGTCTCATGCCATGTGCCCACTTTCAGGTCTCCTCACACTGCTGGTGTGTCAAATTTTTTGACATAGGGTGCTGGCAGATTACGGGCCTCCCATAGCTGCTGCCAGGCCCCTAATCTGCCATGGGCCCCTATACCGCCTCCTCATGCTGCTGCCAGGTCCAGAGTCTCTCATGGGTCCCTGTACGGCCTCCCATTGCTGCTGTCTCCATCGCCACACTCTGCCATGTGCCACTTTCAGGTCTCCTCACACACTGCTGGTGTGTTCAATTTTTTGACATAGGGTGCTGGCAGATTACGGGCCTCCCATAGCTGCTGCCAGGCCCCTAATCTGCCATGGGCCCCTATACCGCCTCCTCATGCTGCTGCTGCCAGGTCCACAGTGTCTCATGCCATGTGCCACTTTCAGGTCTCCTCACACTGCTGGTGTGTTCCATTTTTTGTCATAGGGTGCTGGCAGATTACGGGCCTCCTATAGCTGCTGCCAGGCCCCTAATCTGCCATGGGCCCCTATACCGCCTCCTCATGCTGCTGCCAAGTCCAGAGTCTCTCATGGGTCCCTGTACGGCCTCCCATTGCTGCTGTCTCCATCGCCACACTCTGCCATGTGCCACTTTCAGGTCTCCTCACACTGCTGGTGTGTTCAATTTTTTGACATAGGGTGCTGGCAGATTACGGGCCTCCCATAGCTGCTGCCAGGCCCCTAATCTGCCATGGGCCCCTATACCGCCTCCTCATGCTGCTGCCAGGTCCAGAGTCTCTCATGGGTCCCTGTACGGCCTCCCATTGCTGCTGTCTCCATCGCCACACTCTGCCATGTGCCACTTTCAGGTCTCCTCACACACTGCTGGTGTGTTCAATTTTTTGACATAGGGTGCTGGCAGATTACGGGCCTCCCATAGCTGCTGCCAGGCCCCTAATCTGCCATGGGCCCCTGTACCGCCTCCTCATGCTGCTGCCAGGTCCACATTGCTGTGTCTCATCGCCACTCTGCCATGTGCCACTTTCAGGTCTCCTCACACTGCTGGTGTGTTAAATTTTTTGACATAGGGTGCTGGCAGATTACGGGCCTCCCATAGCTGCTGCCAGGCCCCTAATCTGCCATGGGCCCCTATACCGCCTCCTCATGCTGCTGCCAGGTCCAGAGTCTGTCATGGGTCCCTGTACGGCCTCCCATTGCTGCTGTCTCCATCGCCACACTCTGCCATGTGCCACTTTCAGGTCTCCTCACACACTGCTGGTGTGTTCCATTTTTTGTCATAGGGTGCTGGCAGATTACGGGCCTCCCATTGCTGCTGCCAGGCCCGTAATCTGCCATGGGCCCCTGTACCGCCTCCTCATGCTGCTGCCAGGTCCAGAGTGTGTCATGGGTCCCTGTACGGCCTCCCATTGCTGCTGTCTCCATCGCCACACTCTGCCATGTGCCACTTTCAGGTCTCCTCACACACTGCTGGTGTGTTCCATTTTTTGTCATAGGGTGCTGGCAGATTACGGGCCTCCCATTGCTGCTGCCAGGCCCGTAATCTGCCATGGGCCCCCGTACCGACTCCTCATGCTGTGACGTTGCAACAAGGTGGAATTCAACCCTACATATGTTAGACCGCCTTTACGAACAGCAAAAGGCCATCACAGATTTCCTGATGTTAAAAGCGGATAAAGGTACTCCCTGTGTAACTTAGATGTCAGCCATTGGCAGCTCATGCGTGACACCTGCGCTTGCTCAGGCCCTTTGAGGAGGCCACGCTATTCGTGAGTCGGCAGGACTATGGGATGAACGACGTCATTCCTCTGTTGCACGTCCTGGAACAAATGCTGTTAACAATGGCTGGTCAGGGTGCGGTAGACGTGGCGCACAGATCTCAACGCCACATGACCCCTGAGGGGGCAGGACAGGAAGAAGAGGAGGAGGTAGAGGAGGACATTGGTGCTCAGGAATTATTGAGTTGAAATGGGTGGTTTTTCCACTCAGCGGACAGGAGTTGAGGAGCAGGAGCATCTGGTAGAGGAGGAGGAAGAGGAGACAGAGGACCCAGACGCACCGTGGCAGTATGCTGTGGAGATGGAGGCAGGGAGTCCCTCGCATTCCTTGGCACAAATGGCCCATAGCATGCTCGCTTGCTTGCGTAGCGACAGCCGAATAATAACCATCAGACAGAGGGATGACTTTTGGCTGTCCACCTTGTTGGACCCTCGCTACCGTTCAAAAATGGTGGCCTTTTTCACACCTGCTGAGAGGGAGGCCAAAATAACGTACTATAAAAACCACCTATGTAGTCAGCTGGTCTCTGCCTGTCTGCGCCAACGTCCATCCTCAGACACTGTGGGCCCTGTGCGCTCGCGTTCCGCTGCCATGGCAGCAGGGGAGGGGGGTGGGTGGTAGGAGCAGTGGCAGCTCCACCAGCAGCAGCTGCCTCAGTCTGCAGTCGATGATGAGTAGCTTTCTTCACCAGCGCAGTGAGGAAACTACTAACCAGCCGCAGCAGCAGCAGCAGCATCAGGTGGACCTGGAGCAGGACCTCAAACAACAGGCTTAGGCCTACTTGGACAGCACCCTGCCAACCGAGGTAGACAATCCCCTTGACTACTGGGCAACGAAACTTGACCTTTGGCCCAACTAGCTGAATTTGCCCTTGAAAGGCTGTCATGCCCGGCCAGTAGCGTGGCATCGGAGCGCGTGTTTAGTGCGGCAGGAGGTATTGCAACTCCGCGGAGGACACGACTGTCCACCCAAAGTGTGGAGAGACTCACGTTTGTGAAAATGAATCAGGCGTGGATTAGTCTGGATTTCAAACCACCAGTTCCTGACACAACTGACTAAATCCGCCACGAATCATGCCCCTGCCATGTGCCACTTTCAGGTCTCCTCACACTGCTGGTGTGTTCCATTTTTTGTCATAGGGTGCTGGCAGATTACGGGCCTCCCATAGCTGCTGCCAGGCCCCTAATCTGCCATGGGCCCCTATACCGCCTCCTCATGCTGCTGCCAAGTCCAGAGTCTCTCATGGGTCCCTGTACGGCCTCCCATTGCTGCTGTCTCCATCGCCACACTCTGCCATGTGCCACTTTCAGGTCTCCTCACACTGCTGGTGTGTTCCATTTTTTGTCATAGGGTGCTGGCAGATTACAGGCCTCCCATAGCTGCTGCCAGGCCCCTAATCTGCCATGGGCCCCTATACCGCCTCCTCATGCTGCTGCCAGGCTCGTAATCTGTCATGGGCCCCTGTACCGCCTCCTCATGCTGCTGCCAGGTCCAGAGTGTGTCATGGGTCCCTGTACGGCCTCCCATTGCTGCTGTCTCCATCGCCACACTCTGCCATGTGCCACTTTCAGGTCTCCTCACACTGCTGGTGGTTTCCATTTTTGTCATAGGGTGCTGTATGGCCTCCCATTGCTGCTGCCTCCACCGCCACACTGTGGCTCCACACTCTGGTTTTGGCCCCGTGACTGCCCAAATGAGTGAAGTGTGCGGTGATTCTAAGATCGACGGCACTCATCTGCATGTCATACTGACTGTCAGTATTATTTCTCTTCCCCAGCAGACTCCAAGGGCATTTAAATTAAAGGTACAGTGTTCTGCACTAATATAAAGGCTCTCTGAAGCCTAGAAACACCCTTTTATAAGTTAAATTCGCAGCGAATATATTCGACTCGAATCGAAATTTTTCCACGAATTCGCCGAATCAGTCGAATCGAATTTTTGAATACTTCGCTCATCTCTAATCACAACACGAATAAATGTGAAGTTCCTGTGTCCACTAACAGGTTATTCTGCCTGTAAAATACCAGATCAGCAATTCTTTAATTAACCCTGCTGACACCAGATCTCTGAGAAGCAGAACAGAAAAAAAGAAACATTTTCTGCTTGCTTGAACACATATCCATCATTGGTAAAAAATTAGATGCATGTATAACCAAAACTTTATTCATTTTATGTTTAGATAGATCAGGGAAGTGTTTGAATCCCTGTCAGGCTTTTCTTCACACAAAAAAGCATATACAGAAGAGTATACCACGTACAAAAACATAAGACCTAGAGTACCATCATGGATTGCAAATGACCGCATACGAAAAATCTAAAGGTCATGAAAATAATAGAAAAAAAAAAAACCGTCCTAATCCCAGAAAATAAAAATGAGAATTTCGGGTGTAGATATAACATTTGTCTCTACACGTTTCTCTGGGGTCAAGTCTAATATTTGAAGGTCAAACCTAATTGTAGAGATAGGGGCAGTGGCCTTGTGTTACATAAAAACTCAACATTGGTATAGCAGTTGTAATTCAAGTGGGGAAGGTAGATAATAGGATGGCAGGGTATGGATGATAAGAGGGAAAGAGGGTGGGAAAAGGTGAGGAAAGGGAAGAAAATAAAAAGGGAGAAAAAAATAGAAAAGGAAATATAATAGAAGAATCCAGGGGCCAGGGCACACAGCCTTACTCAAGTAGTATAGAGGAGCCCTGTTAGGTTTTAGCAGCTGTCTTCTGTTTCCCCTCTACTTTAGAGTTTTTGAATTGTCAACACAAGAGGTTAGGGGGGATCATCAATTGGGGACACCTGTTCTCACTTCTGGATTTGCAGCTCTAGCCATTTGATTGGCTGGGCCACGATGACCTCACTAACGCACATGTGCACAGAAGTCACGATGCTGGCACAGCGCTCTGAGTGGACGCACACTTGAGTGTGCCATCCATTTAGAGAGCAGTGCGCATGCGCCGGTGACGTAATCGGCTGTTACAAGTGTGAATATCTCCATTTAGGAGATATTCACTGTACCTACAGGCAAGCCTTACTATAGCCTTACATGTAGGTACAAGTGAAAATGTGGACTTTACTACAGCTTTAAATCTGCATTGTTTTGGGTGAGCTCTTGCCATAAGGTGCACATATACACAGTATACCTCCAAAAGTGCCCCCCCCTTTCCCCTGCACATCCAGCAATGCAATGTTCCGCGATCTCCTATGTTGCCATCTCTAATGTCTTCTCTGGCTCTTCTTTTTTTTTCACTGTTTTCAGCCATCTTGATTGACCAGCCCAAGATAATGTAACTCCAACATGTAAGCATGGGAATTTATTTCTCTCTAAGGCATGCCAAGATTGTATGCGAAGCTGCAAATTCACGGCTCATTGATTAATCAGAAGAAAATTGCTAGCAGGTAAAGCAGACAGATATAGACACACAATCTCTTCTGCAATAAAAAGTACATCCTCCTAGGATTTTTTTTAATTCGTAAAGTGGAACTTTACCCATAACAACTTGATAAGAAATATTGTTCTTTAGCAAAGGAATATACATTCCACATTAATAATTATGCCACCAAAATTAATGTGTACTTGGCTCCAGCATTACCTCTTGCCAGAGGCTGCCATTTTGCTGAAGCCTAGAGCCCCTGAACAACAGTAAATCTTTAGGTTTTCAGCAGACTGGTCTCTACATTTTCGGCACAGTGCCTGAAAATAGAGAGCAACTGAGCATGTGCAGAGCAGAATGATACAGTGTATTGCTGGATTTTAACAACTTTAAATCCACCCTATAGCAGAGTTACTGCTACAGGATGGACGTTCTCTGCAAAATCACGTATATAAATGTGATTTTGCACTTCCACTGTAGGAGGGAGCGCACACGCCACCTGAGCGCTGCTTCTGCTGTGATTGGACACAGCAGAAGCCAATCAACAAGTGCTGGCCAGTGGATGAGCACCAGGACTCGTTGATCGCTGAGGAGACTATGTAAACAAGGCAGAGCTGTTTTCTGTCAGCAGCAATCTGCTAGATTTTCTTTTCCTGCAAAGCAGGGAAAGAAAATCTAGCTGATTACCTAGTAAAAACAGCAGACACAGTACACAAAAACACTGGCTAGGCACACAGTGGACCCTAGATGTTTAACCCCTTCCCAGCCAGTGTCATTAATACAGTGACAGCGTACATTTTTAGTACTGATCACTGTATCAGTGTCACTAATTCCCACAAAGTGTCAGTGTCAAACTGTCTGCAACAATATTGCAGTTCCGCTATAAGTTGCTGATCGCTGCAATTACTAGTATAAAAACAAATTCTAGTATATACCGTAGTTTGTAGACTCAACTTTTGCGCAAATCAATCAGTATATGCTTATATTTTTTTAATTTTTTTTGGGATGTTTTGTAGCAGAAATTAAAAAAAAAAGTTTTTTTATTTTTTTAATTTAGGTCTTTTTTCATTTATAGCGCAAAAAATAAAAAAAACAGGTGTTCAAATACAACCAAAAGAAAGCTCTACTTGTGGGAGAAAAGATACATAAAAATCATTTATGTACTTCTTTGCATGACTGTGCAATCGTCAGGTAAAATAACACAGCGTCATATCGCCAGAAATATCCTGGTCAAGAAGGGGGGTATATCTTCAAGAGCTGAAGTGGTTAAACAGTATAGACACTTATTTTTTATTGTTTTACATAGCTGCACCTGCAAAAGGGACCAGCCTAAAGTTATCTATCAGGGCTTAATTTTCTGACTTAAAGTTCCACTTTAAATTCTGCTTTTGGAGGAAATCTGTTTTTTTATACTACATCAGTATGTGCCATAAGATGGTCATGGGTAGCCTTGGGTAGCAGTGTAACAAGAGAAGTACCGAACTACTACTATGAATTATTTGTGCTTTTATCTGATGTAGTTGTGTTTGGTGCATATTTTGGGACACAGACTTTTTTAGATATCACAATGAATTGGCAGAACCAGTGTAGGTGCATAAGGTAGGTATTTGCCCGATAATGTAAATATTTACTTGTTGGCTTCTATGATTGTTTTGTTTTTTGTTAAAACAATATATGATGTAAAAATATGGATTCCTGAGCTTTGCTGCTGAAAATGCTAGTTCTCTGGCTGTCATGTGGATTCTAAGGCTTCATCACTAAACCAAGCTCTGACCCAAAAAACTATACAGATTAGACATTCTGACTTTACTCCTGGCTTTCCTGATCTGTATGTTTGTTCCAAGCCAGCGATTCGGCAAATTATGCAGAATCAAAGAGAAAATAAATTGTTCCATTTTTTGTCAAGTGCCATAATAATCTGCCGTTGAATGAATCTGGTGTAAGTATTAATTGTGCAGAGTGACAAGGCTGATAAGACCAACACTGCACTGTATTTTTCTAAAGTTAATTCTGGCTCGCAGGCTGAAATAATTGCCTCATTTAGAAGCAAAGTATTCAGGAGGTTTATTCTGTGGATAAATAATCATCATTTTGGGGCAATTGTAATGTAGGAAACTTTAAAAAAGAATTCTAGGCATGGCATTTTTTAGATAGCTACATTGGTCCAGCTTGGCCTATGTATCTACAATACCTATGGGGTCCTTCTAGAACTGGGGTCTCCAAACGTTTGAAACAAAGGGCCAGTTTACTGCCCTTCAAACTTTAGAGGGGCCGGACTGTGGCCAGTGGTTTTAGAAAATGCCCTGGATTCAGTGGAAATAAATATTGCGATAGGCTTGGCGTTCAGTGGTAGCAGGGCGGACTGACCATTTGGAAATTCGGGCACTGCCCGAGGGCCCGGGGTCAGTAGGGGGCCCCATGAGATGCCCCTGGTACCTTTTTCATAGGCTTTTTTGAGTTTGAGCAGAGACACAGGGGCCCCATTAACCCCTATTGCCCGGCGGCCCCATGAGTTGTCAGTCCGCCCCTGAGTGGGAGTAAAAGATTACATAATTGGTGTAAGGAATAGTGCCCCATAATTGTTGTCAGTGGGATGACTAATGCTCCATATTTGGTGTCAGTGGGATGAATAGTGCCCCTGCTTTAGTGTCAGTAGGAGGAATAGTGCCCCATCATTGGTGTCAGTGGGAGGATTATATCCCCATAACTGGTGCCAGTGGGAGGAATCGTGCCCCATCATTGGTGTCAGTAGGTGGATTAGATCCCCATAACTGGTGCCACTGGGAAGAATAGTACCCCATTATTGGTGTCAGTGGGAGGAATAGTGCCTGTCTTTGGGGTCAGTGGTAGGAATAGTGCCTCAAGGTCCCGGTAAAGGCTAGCAAAGGGCCACATCCGGCTTGCGGGCCACAGTTTGCAGACCCTTGTTCTAGAAGATGGAAATCACTGTAGTAGACACCACTATTCCAGTGATCTTCACTAGCTTCCATGTCCTGTTCCGAGCGGCTGCCCTACTGAATTCTGAGCACAGGAGCTTGGCTGCTTGGCATAGGCACTTTGCATTTTCCCAGTAAATTCAAAGCATTCTCTGATTGGACAGGTTGGATTGCAGTCATTGGGAAATTGCAAAACAATCTCTACCATACCTGGAATTTGTCTTTAAAACCCAACTGAATTTTAATTTTAAATCGGCTAAATATGTGCCAGGTACATTAAATGATGTGCAAAATCTTACGGTTTTTACAGGACTCTTTCTCTTTTTACAGGACTCTCTGTGTGGGAGCAGTGGTATCTCTGCAGAGGTCTGATATGTCTCCTACTCAGTCAGACTTACAGCTCTGCAATCGGCAACTTTGGAAAGCTTTAGAGATGATTCAGCAGG